GTAAGATGGCGAGCAATCGAAAAAAGGACAGATGTCATTTCGTTAGACAAAGACAGATATAGGGAAAACAAAATTAGAAAGGTTGACATTATCGACATCGAGGAAGTTCGCCAGTCACTGCAGGATCCCAAGCACATAAAATTGCAGGAGCCTTGAGCAGAATGCAGAAGCCATATGCGCATGCGCTATGGTATTTGTAGAGCTCTACAGATATTACAGCGCATGCGCATATGGCTTCTGCATTCTGCTTATGGCTCCTGCAATTTTATGTGCTTCCACCTTTAAGCGGGGAACACACACTTTTGCATAACGCATAAAGCTGGCCACACACACTTTTTCGTAACAGTAACAGTAGGATTTCGACCAATCGTGTTACTCGATTTGGGAACGTACGGCCGTACGTTTTCGAATCGAGCAACGCGATTGGTCGAAATCCTACTGTTACTGTTACGAAAAAGTGTGTGTCCGGGGCCTAAAGGCTGATTTATAGAGGCCGTAACCGTTGATTTAAGCCGTAATCTTTAAGAAATTGACCAATCACAGTCGAATGTGAGAAGAATAATCGACTGTGATTGGTCAATTTCTTAAAGATTACATCTTAAATCAACGGTTACGTCCTCTATAAATCAGCCTTAATACGTAAGCATAAGAAAACTGATGCGTCGTCTACAATGGCAGCAGGAGTCTACAGTAAGACATAAGCAGTAAGTTATTGACTAATGGGATTTTTACTATTCAGAGCCACCGCACAAGACTCTCGTATGGTCACGTAGCGTAACGTAACGTGAATCAACGCACAAGAAACGTATCGGTTAGAGCCTCCGCACAAGCTCTCGTATGGTAACGTAACGTAGATCAACGCACAAGAAACGTATAACGCCGTAACGGCCGTAACCAATACGTTTCTGGTGCGTTGGCTCACGTTATGTTACGCTACGTGACCATACGAGAGTCTTGTGCGGTGGCTCTCAAGAATAATCGACTATGGTTGGTCAGTAGCTTACTGCTTACGTCTTACTGCATACTCCTGCTGCTGTAGACGACGCTTGATTGATCTATTTCCTTATGCACATGTGTATGGACCAATCAATTTTCTTATGCTTACGCATTATGCGTTGTGCAGAAGTGTGTGCTCCCCGCTTTAAGGTCTATCTTGCATAGCGCATAAACATAAGCATAAGGAAATAGACCAATCCATTTCTTTATGCATATGCTTATGCACTTATGCAAGTTTGTCTGGATTGACCTTTAAAGCCATCGCACACAAAATGCATAGCTTAGCATAAGCGTAGCATAAGACCGCTAAACCAATGAGCATCCAGCATAAAGTCGTCATATTGATTTACATAAGATGCTCATTGGTCCAGCGGTCTTATGCTATGCTTATGCAGCCTATGCAATTTTGTGTGCGAGCACACACTTCTGCACAACGCATAATACGTAAGCATAAAGGCTGATTTATAGAGGCCGTAACCGTTGATTTAAGCCGTAATCTTTAAGAAATTGACCAATCACAGTCGAATGTGAGAAGAATAATCGACTGTGATTGGTCAATTTCTTAAAGATTACATCTTAAATCAACGGTTACGTCCTCTATAAATCAGCCTTAAGAAAACTACGGAAGCCCCTACAGCGGGGAGCACACACTTCTGCATAACGCATAATGCGTAAGCATAAGAAAATTGATTGGTCCATACACATGTGCATAAGGAAATAGACCAATCAGTTTTCTTAAGGTCTATCCAGACAAACTTGCAGACAAACGTGCATAACCATATGCATAAAGAAACGGATTGGTCTTTGTACAACAATTTCACAATAAATATCCACAAAATTAAACCGGCATGACCTAGGGACAACATGTAAAAACAATATCGTACAATTGGAACTAAGAATAAAAGCCTACAAAAATAGCAGTCTGTATTACCGACAAAATTACCATTTTCGTATTTTCAGTCTTTCGTCGCATTAATTTGACAGAATTGAAAATGCTTCTCCACGATTGCAGTACATATACATATATCAATGATCCCAGTGAACTCTTTTTTATATGCAAAACCAGAAATAATTACAGATTTAAGGCCATTGCACGTAACAAAGTTTTAATTTTAATCATAAGGCCGTAAGAAAATAGATCAATCACAATCGATTAATCTTCAAGCGCGAGAAGAATAATCGACTGTGATTGGTTATTTACAGATTTCCTTACCTATACTTTTATCTTAATAATAATATAGCGTCTCAAGTTGTAGGTCAACTCATCACAACATGTACACGTATAACAGTTGCAGTTTGTACAAACGTTGAAAACAAGTTTTCTGGGGTTGAAATACACGAAAGAACATTGTCGAATCCTTTATATCGAGATTGGGAGTCTAATATTAGTGTATATTACGATTCGTGCGTATAATAACCTTGTCTATCCTTGTTTACACGGACAGATATAGGCCGGTAACATAGAAAATAAATCGGCTGCGTTGCATGGTGCTGAGGTGAATTTTAAAATATTCAGATATTGAAGACAGTAAAGCATAAAACAATCTCTGAAATCCTCGACTATATTTTTCAAACCGTGCGATTTCTTGTTTTGCACAAACATCCTTTTTTTATTACGATACATAGCTTATACATACATACATATTTCTTATATATACTCTAAGCATACGGATATCACTGCTTATTCTGTCAATAAATCGAGCATAAATCATAACAGAGATTTGTGTTGTATATTTTAATGAGTAGCGTTATTGCGTCGTCCTCGTCTCTTGCGACTGCCACCAGATGGACGATTTGACGAAGCCCACTGCTCGTAGAAACGTTCGGCTTCGAGCCATTCCTGATACTTGTACCACCATTCTTCCCATTTGATATAATCATCGAGAGTGAGGTCACGTAGATATCCCCTTGCCTTGTAATAATCATATCGGACGCGCACATCGTCCCAACACTCGAAACCTCTTGGTCCTTGCGCCAGAAGTGACTCAGGATAATGTCCGGGAGGAGGCGAATCGTAGCCTAGGCGTGCAATTCTCTCCTCACCTTCTATAACGACTTTCATCGCGTTCTCGCCATCTTTTGTGATGCGCATATTTTCCATGTCCCTACGATCCACACTCCATTGCGCCATCTTACCAAATCTATGGAAATGCAGAATCATCGTTATCACTAGTAGAAAAACGTTATGATTAATAGAATCAAAATAAACTTAAATATTCTAAACTTATTTGCGTTTTGCAATACTGAATAATTTTGTCAGTACCGTTCAGATAATGTCATTTTTGGTGGCCCGACATGAGATGTAGTTGAGGAACTGTCGCTATCGTCACTAGGTGAAGATTCTGGTGGAGGTCGCATTATTTGTGATGCTCCATGACTTGTATGTGTCTTTTCTACTTTTACCGGTTTACGTATCTGCACAATTTTAATAGAAGTATTCCTGATATGCATAAATTCTAATTTCGAAAAAAATACTGTTATACATAATGTAATATGCAGGGTGCGGCATTTAAAGTGTTACAAGCTGTTATCTCTGAAAGTAGACATTACACTAAGAAATGTCTTATAAAAGTTGAAAGGTTGCAAGGGACACATAAGTGTGAGTAATATTCGTTTTACATTAAGTGTAGATGTCAAGCTTATGTAAAAGTCACTTAATTTTAAAAATAAAAACCTCTATTTTTTTATTGTACCATCTTATTCTATTAATTAATTTGACCAACTTTTGTCTAAAACACTTTTTATTTGTCTAATATTTTTTGAAATATTTAAGGAAACTGGGTAACTTTATCAATATTTAATTTACGATTTCTCGACGACTGTTTGTCCTAGGGAAAAGTGGTACAGGACTTTTTGACTTGATTTGGTCTCAAGAATATGATGTTACAATAGTATCGTAACTTTTTTCAATATTTGTGCATACATGAAAGCTCCAAGATGTCTACACAAATATTTGAAAAAATCCTGTATCACTTTTCCCTCCAACAAACAATTATCGAGGTATCATAAGCTAAATATTGGAAAAATTATCAAGTTTTCCTTAAATACCTAAACAAAATATTAGGCAAATAAAAAAGTGTTTCAGACAAAAGTAGTTCAAGTTAATTAGAAATGATAGTAAAAATGATTAGTAGAAATTAGTAAAATAATCCTCTTCTAAAAAGGAGATGTGAAGTTTATTGTTGTCGCTTTTCCGCGATGCCGATTGGTTCTCTTGCTGTGCTTACTTCATTTGCAGCTGTCATTGTATATTTTGACAGTTGTCAAGGAGTTAATAATGTAATAGTAATAGCATAATGTTAAAGCTAAATAGCGCGCGCGAAGCGCGCGTCTGTAGTGTCTAGTACAATAAAAAAATGGAGGTTTTCAGTTAAAAAATTTGACTTGAGCTCAATACGGGCCCCAAACCAAACTCTAATAAGATCAACTATATTAGCTCCCTTTGAACCCTCCAACTTTTATCTGAAACATTTTTTTTAAATGTGTTGTTTAAGAGATATTTAAGGTGGGAATTTTTAAAATGCGTTATCTTGTATACGGGTGTAACATAAATGTGGGTCGCTACTTTAGGAGTGTATTCTACTCGTCAAAATAAGCAAAAAATTCATATAAACGTATATCCAAAAATTCATTATTTTCACATTATAATCATATTTAAAGGAACACGAAGGATGGTTCACCAGTGGTTCCCCCTAGTGTCATATTTTTGGGGACATCTAAAATAAATTGTCTACTCCTTGCCTGTTGACAACATTATCTTCGTCATCGCATTGAAAACGGTTTCAATGAAATACGCAACACGCCGAAAAGCGTGTTTGTGAAAAAATGAGAAAACGGGCGAAGCAGAGTATTTTGGCTGGAAATCGCGTCTTTAAGCATTTGCTTTAAGATTTGTTTTATGTCAATTTCCTTTTCTACTGTATTGTGTTATAGTGAATTTGGTTGGACGCACCAGTGCGCACTCAGTGCACATTAAAGCCGTTGTACACAAATTAACGTAAAGTGTATGTTTAATATAAACGGGTTAAGTCACGAAATATTCCTCAATATTCTTTATTGTACTATTTGGTAAAATATGTATTAGGCAATTTTATCAGTCGAAATATTTGCATTTTACTTTAAATATTAGAGATTAAATCAGTGTACAACGGCTTTAATGTGCACTGAGTACGCACTGGTGCGTCCAACCAAATTCGCTATTAGAAATAAAATAATACGCTTTGTAATTGTCTGAAGTTTCAACTCAAACATGACTGTAATATGAAAACGATGCATCTTGGGACATATGTTTATATTACGTTTATGAACTTTTTGGGCTCATTTTAATTAATAAAATACACCGCTGAAATAGCGGCCCATATTTATGTTACACCCTGTATACGGAGTGTTCCAGGTCAGGCCAATAAAATTTCAGGGTCTTATAGAAAATTGAATTTGGATAAAAAAGTTTCTATAAACATAGGTCTGGAAACGCTTTGTGTTAAATAGTTATAGCTAATGAACTTCGAAAAATCACAACAATCATCGTTGTTTTATGATTTTTAAAAATAACTTCAACCCTTTATTCATTTGGGAAAAAAAAAAAAAAAAAAAAAATCTGATAGATAATTCAATACCAACCTAAATTACACCAATTTCATTTACTTCTGATAAGGTGTTTAAAAGAAAATATGCTCAAAACAAAAAAAGCAGAAACTTGAAATTACGTAGATGCCAAAACTCCATTAATGAATAGGGACATCATTTTGAACATATTTAATAATTTAGTTAAAAATTATTTTCCTTTTACTTTTAATAAAATTGTTCTAAATTATCTCATTGATGTAACCTTTGTATTATCCCTTTTTTTAAGTCAATTTTTTAACAAAGCATTTCCGGACCTAATGTTTTATGGAAACTTTTTTGTTCCAAACTCAATTTCCTGTAAGACCCTGAAGTTTTATTGACCTGATCTGGACCCTGCATATGCAGGGTATCTCTGAACTCAGTGGCAAAACTGGTACAGCGGTTTAAACACATGAAAATAAGTCAAAAATGTACAATGAACATATGTCCAAATCTGAACAATTTCGGAGTTATAAGATATTGAAGTTGCTTTCGTAAGAAAAACAAAGTAAATGTTGTTTAATGTTCTTTATTATGTTTAAAGCTTTACAAAAAGAGCTCAATAATTCCTCTGTCGACTTCAACACACTTTCTAGGACTAATTAATAAACTATTTCAAACTTTTTGAAAAATATGTTTGGAGTTTCGCGAATGACATTGACAACATTAAGTGTCAGTTGCCACAGCTGCTCTGAATTGTGAATGAATTTTTGAGTACCTTTTGTAAAGCTTTAAAAAAATAAAGAACATTAAACATTTATTTTTTATGAAAGCAACTTCAATACCTTATAACTCCGAAACCATCCGGATTCGGACTTATGTTTATTAGACATTTTCGACTTGCTTCCATGTACTGAAACCGTACCAATTTTGGTACTTAGTTTAGGGACACCTTGTATATACAAAGTGGACTATTTCAATCAATACATTGGAATATCTCATAACCTTTAAGTTTGAGACAAAAACGTTTTAGACAAAAGTTGGCATGGTTTAAAGAGGGCCACATGATGAAAATATGGACTTAAGGTGATCCTAAAGCCGTGATTTTAGCCGGTTTTTTTCGGTTTTTTTCTTAGCATTAATCTTTTAATTGGCTTTATAGAAATGCAAAATTCTTGTCTAGAATTAAAGTACGCATCAAAATCTAGGTCATGGTGGTCGAATTTATATGTGGTGGTCGTCACGTATAACAAAAAATATTATTTTTTTTTCGTTTTCGATATAAATTCGACCACCATGACCTAGATTTTGATGCGTACTTTAATTCTAGACAAGAATTTTGCATTTCTATAAAGCCAATTAAAAGATTAGTGCTAAAAAAAAAAAATGAAAAAACCGGCTAGGATCACGGCTTTAGGATCACCTTAACCCTGAGTGACCTCTGCAAGATCGTCTCAAAATTTTGAAACCCCCTTTTTAAATTTTGAAACCCCCTATTTTCCATATCATATTCTTGTAGCTGACTTCAAGATTTTTTCAAAACACTATAATAAGCTCTCTTTCGTTAAGAATTTCCTGAGATGTTTCAAAGTTTGTCACGATATTTTTAATATAAAATATGACCTATCTCATGAAGTATTCATTTTACGATTGCCGAAGTATCGACCTTACCTTGATACTTTTATATCTAGACTGTGTTCGGGGAGCGCGCTATTAGCGCTATTGCATCATTCTCTTTATCGCTCATCAGGTGTAAAACAAGGATGGAATAAGCAAATAGCGCTAATAGTGTGCTCCCCGCATCCAACCATAGAGTAATGAAAGAAATAGATTGTAAAAAAAAAAATTATTTTAAAAATTTTGATTACATTTTGTAGACGTATTCAATTTAGCAAAATTGCGAATGTAAAAATTAATATTATTCGATTTCTTTTATTAGGGGTTTAAAAATTTTGAGGCAACCTTGAAAAGATCACTCAGGGTTAAGTCCATATGTTCATCATGTGGTCCCCTTCAAACCATGCAACTTTTGTCTCAAACGTAAAGGCTATGAGATATTCCAGTGGATTGATTAAAATGGCTCACCCTGTGTAGCATTTAAGAAACTATCAATATATAACTTTATATTTGTTAAATACAAAACATTTGCGAGAAAATCTTTCTCTATAGGATTAGTTAATGTTACAAGTCTCATAGAATAGACATAGAAAAAAAGGATTAAAGCCCCTTGCACAATGCCAGGCAACAGGCAATAGGAACAGGGAATAGAAATCAGAAATCATGTATAAATGCAGAATAAACAGTGACACAGGCAATAGACACAGAGTTTCCGTCACGTTGGGAATTTTGTGCCTATTGCCTGTTGCCAACCAATTATAGCATTTAAACTTTTTAGGTTGTAATTAACGATTTTTTGGTTATTTCCTGTTCCTATTGCCTGTTGTCTGGCATTGTGCAAGGGGCTTAAGGCTCCTGGATGGTCACCGCGGCCATATTGAATTCTCACTATTGAGGCGAGGAAAACACCCAATTTTGTCGTCCGTACCATTTTCAAATAAAGAGACATTTCAATAAAACATCACTATAGATCGTTTCAGAACACTTCCGAAATTGACCGAAAACTACCCTTTTCCCTCGACAATAAACAAACAGCCATAAAACAAAGCCTAAACATACGGGAAAAACAGCCGTTTAACGACTATCGAAAGGAGGTGAAAACGTTACTTCCGCATGCAAATCTTACTTTTCGGTCAATTTTACGATTTTCACGAATACGTTAAACGTTAGAGCACAAGCACAGAGCAAGTAATAAAGAAATAGCAAGGACGACAAAATAGGTTGTCAACATGTCACAAGACAGAATTCTCCATTGGAGAGAGTGAGAGGAGAGAGTGGCGGCGCCACCGTCAACGCAGAGTTCTCGGCTGACCATCCAGGAGCCTTAAAGAACGATAAGAAATAGTTATTTTACCAATGAGATAGGATCTGGTACTCGTGGATCCTCTGGTAATCTGCTATGATGTTTTTCTTTACGGCGAACCTTGGCTTCTTTCTCCTTGAGGTTCTTGTAATCCTTCTGATGACGCAATGGCGGTTGCGGCGCTGGCGGTGGTGTACGCGGTCGTGGTAGAGGCGGTGACCGCGGTCTAGTACGCGGCTGTAAGGCTCGTGAACTAGATGCAATAACTTCTTTGGGATGTGCCCTAGTTCGTATCGGACTGATCGATCTCGAATGCGAGCGAGATGGTGGCGCGACACGTCGTCGTTCTTTTGGTGAACAGACGGAACATGATCTGTCAGAACATGTGCTACCCGTGCTGGAACTGCGAGCAGTCGGTCTATTTTTATTGTGCTCGCGGGAAGAACGTTCGCGCGGTGATCGTGGACTCCTCGTTCGAGGACTGCGCGGTCGTGGACTGTGAGGACTGCGCGACCTCGGGCTTCTCGGACTCTTAGGATGTCCCCTGCTAGGTTCGGTACTACTGCCAACATATAACTCTTTGTATCCGCTGTGACGCCATCTATTCGGATCTCGCTCCTCTGCTTCCAACAACTTCTTGTTCCAGTAGCTCGATTGTGACTCGCGTGCTTTTCGCATTACATTGTCTATCTCTTTTCGCTTGCTCGAACTCTCGCCATGTGGTCTGGATTGTGATACGCTCGTATCCATTCGCAGCCTGCTCGAATTACTGCTGCTACCGCCTCTTCTTCTGTCATAATCTCGGGATGACATCTCTAAGGATTAAATTTTTAGAAAAATTTAATTTTTATGATGCATTATCTAATTAAAATAAAATACATATATTATTAAGTTATATTCAAATGATCAAGTGTTTGTCTTTTACGAAAGGACATAGAACATTGATCAAATGTGTTTTAATGTAAAATAAACAATTTTGGAAATATTACACAGCTTCACAAAAATAAAAAAATTTTCTGTCCGGCGGACGGGAGTTTTTGTGGTCGCTGAGTACGAATCTGATGTCAGTTTTCCAAAATTCAAAATGGCAGATCCAGTATACCCGATAAGTTTTTGAAAATTGACCAGATTTACCTAAAATTTGTTACTCGAGGGTTTTTGAGGTCGCTGAATACGAATCTGACGTCAGATCATAACATATAATCACACTGAAAATGCAGTTTTTCCCACATGACTCTAAGAAAGTACAAATCTTATATATTTGATGTCCAAGACCACAATAGAGTCAAAGTATATCCATGACTTGATCTCTGCAACCAGGGTACCTCCACGTGGTGACGGTGGGCAACGGATTTATTCCGGCGTTATAGATACGTATCTAACCCAGAAATTTCGCCTTTTTAGGGTTTTCAACCTAATATCTGCGACTGGTCTGATTACGCCACTCACACAGTCGTAAATCTCACTAATGCAGTCCCATGTAGCGACCCAAAATACATAAGAATTGACTAGTCTGGTCCACCGGACAGAAAATTTTTTTATTTTTGTGGGGCTTTATTATATTAGATACAAAATTAATAGATATATTTGTAAAATTATAGATTAAAACATATTTACCTTATAAGTAAAGATATAAGATGGAAGACGAAGGTACAGCAAAAAATATCTTGTCAATATAGGCACACCAGTGTAATAATGCCGAGATTAGTAATATTAATCCTTCATATGCTGCATCTATAAAGATAATGTTCCAAACTGCCGCAAACGTGCCAAAAGACCATCGGATGTATCAGAAGCACTCGTCCTTAAGATCGACTGGCCTAGGTGAAAAATTCTACATGTCACAAATCTGATACAAACGTCATACAAGTCGAGAGACGTTAAAAGTTAGCATTCTTTAAGGTGCATTTTTTGGGGATTTTGTTTTCTCACGTGAATCCGATTCTTTTTTTTTTTGCGACAATCCACAAATATGTGTGCGTGATACGTCTTCGTTGCGAAGCGCGCATCGCCGGTATGCGATGCCTTACCATCGGTGTCACTCACCGCGTGTCCATGAGATCCATGCGTGTCGCGGATGTTCCGCGCGCGAGTCAAACCGCGGTTAGAGTCCTGCGCGAGGAACTCGAGATTATCTCGCTCGCTCGCTCGCGCGCGCGCGAGCACACGGAATCGCCGACAGCCCCGGGGCCACGAGTCGCGAAGATCGAGCGTCGCAACATAAACGATCGCGATTGCGACGTCGCGCGCCAAGTCGCGCGAATAACACGCCGAATAAACGCGCTGCGTCGGCGACGACGACAGCAACAGCGGCACTCGCGACGATGGCGGGTGTAGCACGTCAATTTAATATCGACGCTTAGTCGAACGGATGAATCCGTAGCCGATCGGGTTCGGTTCATGCCACGAGGATAAGTGTCATCTTCGCAGGCATCGCCTTCGTGACGGCGACAGAAAGTAGAAGGGCACATCGCCGGCCGATTCATGATCACTCGCGACGCGACTTCCTACTTCGACCTCTTCTATGGATGTCTATCCCCTTATTAGCGGGACATAGTGTCACTTGAACGTGGCGCCCAAAGCGATCGGATGGCGCTACACAGTACTCTGCATACATCGAAGTCCTTGCGCGGAAGGACCGCGGCGGACGACGACGATCGTACGTGGCCCCGACAGGGGACACTGTGCTTGAAGGGAGCGTTACCCGGATAACGCTACGTAGTCCCCTGCCGCGACGGGATGTTTCGACTACTTCGAGAGACTCACCCGTTCGAAAGAAGAGAGCTTGTGATTGGTATAAAGCGCGTTTGCGCACTCACTCGCCCGCTTCACACACACACACGCATACGCACGCACACGCATACGCACGCACACACACATACACAAAAGCCCTCTTTGCTCCATTTTAGAAAAGCAAGGTCGATGGCATCTCTCTTGTTCCCATTCTTTCTCTCTCCCTCCCTCCCTTTTTTCCTCCCTCTCGCCCTCATTCTCTCTTTCTCACGCGCATCTCCTCTCTTTTCCTCATTCACTTATTTACACACGCATATACACACCACACTCACTCACTCACGCTCTTTCTCTCTCACACATACATACACACACACACTCTCTCTTTTTCTCTTGCTAGTATCAACCTCTTGCCACCACAGAACTCCGATTAGTATGCAAACTATGAAATTTGAATACTTCAGTTTTTCTTGCAAGCGCATTTACTCACGACTGCCGTTCGTTACAACTCGTGTCCGAACGGATGAAACGACGGAGTGACACGGCATTCAGGGCGACGTCAAAAATCAATTGCCCAAATCTAACGTACGTCTCGCGCGACTCAATTCGACCCGCGAATGATACTTTTTTGTCGGAAGCCCCGCGTCTATCACGCGGGACGAACGGACACTCACTTTTCTTAACGCGACGACCCGATTACTTGTTTTTTCTGGCACGTATCCCGGCGATTCGCTCTCGCGTGATGTCGAATATGTTCACAATGGACTTTTATAGGAGAGGTTCTCCGACATTCTCCGTCACTTAGCTTTAACCGTCGAGCGCGAAGATATAGATGGCGAGCTTGATTCTCCGTTGCTAGGGATCCTTAAAGGTGGAAGCACATAAAATTGCAGAAGCCATGAGCAGAATGCAGAAGCCATATGCGCATGCGCTGTGATATCTGTAGAGCTCTACAAATACCATAGCGCATGCGCATATGGCTTCTGCATTCTGCTCAAGGCTCCTGCAATTAGCTCCGGTAACTTAGCCGGTCAACTACGACTTTATTAATTTTCATA